AGGGTCAAGTTGCAAAACAAGCATTAGAAAAAAAAGTGAATAGGTTGAGAAGAAGGGAAGACTGAAAATGTCCTGATTGGATGGAGCTGACGAGATCCTCAAAAAGAAAGACGTGAGAAGTTTATAGAACATAAGGTAATGTTCAAAGCAATATATGGTAATAGAAAAAACAAGACTGTTTTCCCAAGGTAAAAGGCGATGGAGAGAGAGAGTGATTAGTGTCAGTATGAACAAGATTTCACCATTTTGCATATTTCATAGGAATGTTGCCATTTATTCTCCCCCTTGTGTACTATAGTTGACTATCATGGATGACAAAATGAATAAGATCTCCAATAGAATATCAGTAATGGAAGAAGGTGGTCTAGCTAATAGACTAACAATAATACAAAGAAACAAAAGAGAATAATTTGAAGAGATATATCTATAAGACAAAACCTGCTAAAAATCTAGAATCTCTTAAAATCCAGAATAAATCCACAAATGTTATCATTACTTCATGTTGCCGTCACATGACATCCCAATATTTTTCCCCTTCACAGAGCTGGGGTGGGCATGGCCTGCATGTGATGCATCCGGCCCACAGGGCCACCAGTTTGACACCCCTGACTTAATAGAATAACATAACAGCGTTGGAAGACTTAGTGTCAGCGTCTCACCACTGGCATAGAGAGGAGAGAGATAAGCCCTTAACTTTTGCCTGCTAAATTCCTTTGAAGCCCGGTCGTCGTGGAAATGAGGAGGGGGGAGACATTCCTGTGAAATGATGAGACAAGAAGTCAGTGGAGTGACTTGGAAGATAGCCAATGAGAAGCAGATAATTGGGGATCGGAAAGGGAGGGATTGGGGGGCAAAAGGTCAGTCTTATCCGCATCAAGTCATGATCCGGTTGCTGTGCTCAATTAAAGAGAAGATTTCCTTAAAGATTGGCAGTTTGGAAATTCATTTATTATGAGATAGCATCAAAGTCTGACACTTAGAAGTCTTCGAGTTCAACCCCCTGCTTGGGCATGAAATCCTACACCATTTCAGACAAATGATTGTCCAATTTCTTCTTAAAAATCTCCAATATTGCAGCACCCACAACTTCTGGAAGCAAGTTGCTACACTAATTAATTGTTCTAACTGTTAGGAAATTTCTCCTTTATTCTAGGTTGGTTCTCTCCTTGATTAACTTTCCATCCATTGCTTCTTGTTCCGCCTTCAGGTGCTTTAGAGAATAGGTTGACCCCCTCTTATTGTAGAAGTCTCTTAAATATTGGAAAACTGCTATCTTGTCATCTCCAGTCCCTCTTTTCATTAAACTAGACATACTCAACTCCTGCAACCATTCTTTATATGTTTTAGCCTTCAGTCCTCTAATCATCTTTGTTGCTCTTCTCTGCACTCTTTCTAGAATCTCAACATATTTTTTATATCATGGCAACCAAAACTGGATGCAATTTACCATCAAATGCCTTTTAGTCTAAGTACAATTATATTAAAACGGATTTAATTACTTATACAAATATGATTTATCCAGATTCAAAAAACAGATTCAAAGTACAACAGGAATTGCACAATGAAGGAGGTAATTCACCATGATTAATGTATTTACAAATAACTAGGAAAAAAAAAGATTTCAAAAAGTGAAGGAAAAAGAATGACATAATTTGAAATATTTTTACAGCCTCCTGAAAGGGCTGTAGTTTGCCCCCAATTTTTCATGGGATTTTACTAGTACATGCCTTGATTTCATAATAATGCTTTTCTTCTGTAAGCCTTTTTATTCTTGAACAAAGTCAAGAATGGCAGAATTCAGTGAAAGCATTCTCTGAGGTTAAATGGAAATTCTCACAAATGTTACATAAGATTCCTAGCTAGGCATCCTGGAATTTGGAGATACCACAACTCTAATATTCTCAAGAATTCAAGAATTCTCAAGAAAATTCTCAACCTGAGAACATATAAAACATGCTATTCTGAAATGTATATTACAGTATAGTTATTTTATTGTTGAGAAACTCATATGGGTATTTTCTGTTGACAAATTTCAAAATACAGCATGGAAAAATGCAGATTGCCTAATTTATGTTTGTATAAACAGCTAACTAGAAGGCCATCACTAAAAGGCATTAAAGGGCACCCAAATGATTCTAGGAAAACAAATACATTCTAACCATTTGTGTGTAACCTTGATATCCTGTCCACCCACCCCACCTAGAAATACTGAGCCCATCAACATCTTCATGAATTTTTTTAACTTTCAGGCAGTTAGATCTACTATTTTATCTTTGCTCCGTCTTCTTGGAAACCAGTATTGTATAGCATTAGCACTTAGACTTATATATATCATAGTGTTTTATAGCTCTCTCTAAGTGGTTTACATAGTCAGCATATTGCCCTCAAAATCTGGGTCCTCATTTTACTGACCTAGGAACGACGGAAGGCGGAGTCAACCTTGAGCCTGGTGGAATTCGATCTGCCAAGGTGCTGGCAGCTGGTGATCAGCAGAAGTAGCCTGCATTACTGCACTCTAACCACTGCGCCTCCACGGCTCATTGTATAGGTATACATGTTTTCCACAATATCCAGACAAGAGGCAAAAAAGGACACAGATGTGTACAAATGTTGCTTGCCCAATTGTTTTCTATAAGGGACAGAATGCTGTTGCAAAAATGTAATTATCAAGAACCAACACCATGTTGCTTGCATTATAGTACACTAGACTGAATCAAAGAAATGTGCTGGCAAAGATCCAAAGATGAGAAAAGCCAAAAAACACATACTTATTAAATATACTGTAATTGAACATATTGTGAGGATGTTTATATAAACTGTATGTCTTTTGTTTATACACTTCAAAGGTCACAAAGAAGCAAATCACATTGCACCTTAGCATGTTATGCAAACAAATAGATTTATACATCACAGGTGTTATGCAAATGGTTCCTAACCAAAGTGTCCTATTCAATATATAATGCCCAGCTTCAGTGTAGGAAAACCCCCTAAATGAATAGAACAGAATAGAATTCTTTTATTGGCCAAGTGTGATTGGACACACAAGGAATTGTTTTGATGCATATGCTCTCAGTGTTCATAAAAGACAAGATACGTTAACCAAGAATCATAAGGTACAACACTTAATGATACTCATAGGTTACAAATAAGCAATCAGAAAACAATATCAATCGTAAGGATCCAAGCAACAAAGTTACAGTCATACAGTCATAAGTGGAAGGAGATGGGTGGTGGGAACGATGAGAAGATTAGTAGTAGTGCAGACTTAGTAAATAGTTTGACAGTGTTGAGGGAATTATTTGTTTTATATTAATAATAATAATAAATTATTAATTAAATTAATAAGTACTGTAATATAATACATTATCCATTTGTGATCACATGGGCAAAAGTCACATAATGAAGGTGACTGGTTGGACCTCTTCATACAGCACATAATTATTATATTTGTTAAATTTACTTGCTGTCTATCTCCCTATGGGGCTACAATTCAGCTAACTCAAATAAATGACGGCCACTAACTTGGATGGTGTTACTTTGTAAAGGATAGTTCAAACAAATAATAATTTTGAAGCATCTAGGGGCAATATTCCTTCAAATACCAATTATAGGAGGAAATTGTGTTTGCACCTCCTGCTGGGACATTCCAGGGGCATCTGACCCGCCGCCCTAAGAAACAAAATACCAGTCTACTAAAATGGGGCTAGCAATAATCAAGCAGTACTCCTAATTTTAAAGTATGTTCAATCTGCTCTATTCTTTTAATTATTCAACAGAAGCGAGATTCGCCTTCTGGAGCAATGTCTTCCCACAGAGCTGAATCTCTCTTTAAGCCTGCGGCTCACTCCTTCATGCACCTTTTGTGCAAACCAGCATCTGCATTTCCTGCCTCGGATGAGGAGAGCACATCTCTCTCCTTCTGTCCTGATCGCTTTTTACAGAGGCCCGATTGAGAGCGTTTTAACAAACCGCATCACTGTTTGTTTTGGTGGCAGCAGTGCCTCAGATAGTCCATACAGAGAATGGTAAGGACAGCTGAGATTATAGGAAGCTTGCTTCCCATTCAGGATATTGCTCAGGGGTGGGTTCTACTTACCTTTACTACCAGTTCACAGTGGGATTGGCCACGTGCGATCCCTTTGCTCGCGCACATGCCTTGCTTCTTGCGCATGCGCAGATCGCTTCTGATGATGTTAGGGTCAGTGGGTGGAGCCTCCCTCCGGTTTTACTACCAGTTCTACAGAACCGGTCTGAACCGGGGCAACCCACCGCTAATACTGCTTATAACCCATAGGTGCTTAGGTATCAAAGCATTGTTAGAAACCCCACATATCCACTTTACGGTTTGTTTCTATTGCTCCCCTCTGGGAGGAGGTTTTGAAGTATTTCTGGCAGGACTACTAAATTCTGTAACAGCTTTGTTCCCAAAGCCATCTGGTAAACTGGCAAGATTTGTTTTTCTTGCTATGTACATGTAATACAACCGAACTAGACCGTGCTGTTTCTGTGTGTCATATATGTGGGTATATGCATATTTATTTGTCATGTTTATGCAACGTATATTGGAAGGGTGACCCTTTGAGAGCTGTACGCAACAAGAATTCATTTTAATATAAGCCGACTGGTGTACATTTAAAGCAACATTATAATTATTCTAAGTATGTTCTAAGTCTTCCTCGTTCCCCGTGTCAAGAGATGGCCGTCGCAGGCACCAACGAGCCCTTCCCAGCCGAGGCAACCGAGGAGATTTTTTTTCCTTCTAATCTAAACCGCGCCAACCAAAGCCGCGCCCAGGCGAGGGAGCCCGAGGGCCCGTTCAAAGAAGCGCGAGGAGGCGCCCCTCCCCTGATTGCGCCACCTGCCTTCTCCTCCCTGCCCCACCCGCGCGCGCTTCCCTCACCCTCGCGCCTGGCCTCACATGACTACCAGCACGTGACAAGTTCCGGGTTTGTCAGGTGACCCGGCGCTGCGCGGACGGAGGGGAGGGCGAGAGCGAGTCACATGACTCCTCCGCCAGTGCGCTTTCTCGCTTTCTGCTCGCTCATGTTAGCCGAGTAACCTTCGCGGAGCTTTCCCTCGGCCTGCCATGGGACGCGCCGTCGCGTTCGCCGCAGCTTGCGGGGCTGCTGCCCTCCGGCTCCGCTGGCTGCCTGCCCTCTTCTTGCTTCTCCTCCCGGGCCAGAAGGGAGACCTCTCCACTACCATAGCGGCCCAGGACGCCTTCAGTTACCAGGCTCTATGCAAGTAAGCGCCCAGCCCTCCGGGAACTCCGCTCTTTGCGTGGGACAGCTGCAGCTCCGCGGGAGCATTGTGGGAAGGGATGGTTTGCGAAGGAAATTGTCCCGGGTTGTGACCGTCGTTTTCTCTTTGGCAGGCAGTGTGGACATGTTGAAACCTTAAATGCGCATTTGCCTGACTTCCTTAAGAGTGCTTTCGCATTTAGATTTCCAAATTGCCTTTTTACGCTTCCTCTGATTTACCCCATGATTAAATTAAGGGGAACTGCGATTGAAAAAGCGACCTTTTACAGTAACCGAACAAAGTTGGCGTTTCAGATAACCAGCATCACCCCCTTGTTCAACAGCTTGGTTTCCCCGAAAAGCTTGCTGCATGTCATTCGCTATAGTATAATACTATTTTGGAGGCAGTGATTGTAATGACTTTCACTGAGGTGTAACAGCTGCTGTCATTTCTTTAAATGGTGCCCTCTCCTAAATTTAACCCGCACAAAATTCCTAAGCTTAATACATGTTTGTGTAGTATTTTTCTTATTAAACGCTATTGCGGAGTGCTATTAATTTCTTTGTTCAGGTTTCCTCTAAGCATACTGACAAACAGTACCTAAATGCTTTGTGGTTTAGAGATCAGGGTTGTTCAAAACAGTCTTTAAATATAGGGGCTGTTGTGAACCTAAACAGCAAGAAAAACCTGTTTCTTTCCCAAGTTAGGCAAAAGAAAAGAGATTGGGGTGAAAGAAAGTACCTTTCACATAAGAGAATGAACTGGCTCTAAAAACTCTGCTGGGATTTCTTGGGTTGCTGATGAATGGCCTCTAGTTCAGTGTGTTTGGCTGAGTTTATGCAATATGTTCAGTTATAGTTAGTTTAGCCAATGTAATACCTGGGTCAGCTGGGTTTTTACAACATGCTAAATAAACCATGTGATAACCATAAGAAACACATAATTCAGCATGTTATGTGAACCAGGTGTATGTAAATAGGGGACCATTATCTGTTATATTAAGGTGAAAGGTTAGCTGAAGCTGCTTCATACTACAGTACAATATAGCTTAAATAGTCCATTAAAACGAGCAACAGAGTGATAGACAGGAAATTTTCTCAACTTTTCCTGATGATGGTAAGAATGTATTACATGCACTCTCCTACTGAGCCACAATCTTTTTCTGGAAGGCATAATCCCAGACTCTGGTTAGTTTAGAATATAGCTACTTTTACAGCCCTCTCTAAGCGGTTTACAGAGTCAGCATATTGCCCCCAACAATCTGGGTCCTCAGATTAATATGAAATCTCTGCTTCCTCAGTAGTATAGTCTAAGGCAGTACCAAAGAAATTATACCCACTGTGTAGAAGAGCACTGGAAATGTATGTTGTGCTTGCTTTATTTCATACATAAGCAAGTGTAAATGAAGCACTTATGGTAATGTATAATTGTTAAAAACATATAAAGACTGCACCACTAGTAAATGCAACCTGGACTTTTGGTTTTCTTCATTTTCACTTTCTCTGAATGCAACATTTAATTGTGAATTCTTTCTCCCTTCAGAGCAATATCTAAGGTACCAACAGCAGCAGACAAATGTTTTTTTCATAAGTGATATAGAACTTTGTATGATTCCTTTCATAACTAAAATGAAATATATATTTAAATTTTTGACAAAAATATTTGGGTCTCCTTTATAACAAGTTCATGTAAGCCACTTGGAATCTCCAAATGATACTTTGGAGAACATAACTATTGTCTTTCCAGTGAAGGTATTTCAACTAATCTATTATGAGCATTAGAAACTAATTAGCTCATTGTTTTATTTATTTTATCTCTTTCAATTGGTTCTGAATAGCATATAATCTAAGAATTAAAAACAGCAAAAATCCAAGCCAATTCTCTTTAATCATAGTCTGTCTACAATTATATTTTTTTTCATTAAAGGTTACATTAATCTAATGCAAATTAAGCTCATGCAAAATGATACCCTTTTAGCTGTGTATTATTTTGTCATGATTCAGAAGTCTGTGTCTTAGTTGGGAGAAAAGCTTATTTTTGTTGGTTGGTCATTACTAGACATCAACAATGCTTATATTGCACAGAGCTATTGTCCAATGTCTTAATTTGTTCATAAAAATAGAAGCCAATTTTCTGACCTGCTCTTAATTTAGAATTTCCTGAAATTTTTTTCTCATTCCATCACTATTTGTAGCACAGTTATATTTATTATTTATTAATCAAATTAAGATCTGAGCGGTGTGGTAGCCTAGTGGGGAAGATGCTCACCTCCCATTCAGAGGGTTGAGAGTTCAACCCTAGGTAATAGCAGATGTTTCTCAGGATGCAAAGAGAAAATATCTGCGGCAAACTCCCTGTAGATGTCAGGAAGGGCATCTAGCCAGTGAACGCTCAGCTGCGTTCAGTTGCCCTGACTGCCCCGAACTAAGGAATTACAGCGTTTCAAAAAGAAAAATTAATGATCTACATACCATAGAATTTTGTGGGGTTTATATTCCAAATAAATTATATGTAATTTCTTTATAGAGATGGAAAGGGAAAACAAACATCTTCAAGTTGAGTTCAAGTCTTAGTGAAGTCTTCATGGAAGTATCCATTAATATTCTTAGCAGCACTACAGAGGTTTGCCTTCTTCTGGGATATTTTTCTAACTTCCCAGGCTAAAGTACTGGTATTACTTGGAGACTTGAACGTGATTAATTTTCAAGCACACAAAAGATGTTTCAGAAGTTGTAGCTGTTGGAGTGTATGTATGCATACGTATGTAGTATAATAATAATAATAATAATAATAATAATAATAATAATAATAATAATAATAATAATTTTATTTCTATACCGCCCTTCTCCCGAAGGACTCAGGGCGGTGTACAGCCTATTTAAAAACACAAGACAAACATCAATTTAAAATTTAAAATTATTAAATAAATTTGGCTCCATTTAAAACCCCAGAAATTTAAAATACCCCAATTTAAAATTATCATGTCGATAGCCCAGCCTGGCGGAACAACAGGGTCTTCAGTGCACAGCGAAATACCCGGAAGTCGGGGATCTTACGTATTTCCAGGGGCTTACGTATAGGAGAACTTGTTTCTTAAAGTATATAGAATTGCATTAAGAATGGAGAGAGTAAGAGCTCAATTAATCCTGCTTAGTATCATTCTGCTGTCAGTGGCTCTACTGGCGCAACGAGGCTCGTCACACTGGTGGAGCAGCTGGAGGGATAATGCAACGAGGCTTGTGCCAATGGAGTGACTCGCGGCAGAACATTGCGAGGCTCATCTCGCTGGTGCCGCCACTCATGCATGCGATGGCACAACACGCCACGCAGCATCCAGCTGCAAGTGGCTCCACCAGCACAACGAACCTTCCAGCATTCTGATGCGAGCGGCTCCACTGTGCAACAAGCCTTGCAGCCTTGTGCCGCAAGCGGTTTCACCGGTGAGATGATGAGCCTCGTGGTGTGCCATGAACAGCTCCATTGGCACAACGAGCCTCTATTGATGCCTCAATAATAAATTGGCTGCTATTCAGCTCAGCTGCCTTGGAACACTAATAACTGAATAATTGCTTAGTTAATACATGTAATGATTTTTCAAGATGGTAATTATGACTTTAAAATTGTTAATTTTATGTTCTATATTTATATAACAATCTAGGGGGGCAATCAATCTTCCTGGTACTATTATCCTCCAAAATAGCAAAATGAATTTCTACAGCCTTCCATCATCAATCAATTGATTGGATTGGCCAAGAAATAAATATACCACTTTTAAAAAAATCAAGATTTCATCTGTTGAGTTCATTACAGTAATAATATAACTTGTTTGGGGTTGGTGAAAACATGCCATTGAAGCAAACCTCAGCTACTAGTTTCATGCAGTATGCTAAGCTTGATTCAGACCAACTACATAATGGCTTATATATGATATATGAATTTGGTCATTGTAGCATAATCATCAAGGTTCATTTGCCAAAGTGACTCTATGTTACTTTCACAAATCTATCTTTGTTCTGAGCTGGAAGGGAAGTTAAAAAATCTTTACAGTTTTGAGAACTTTTTAAAGTTTTTAGTATCTTGTAAACATTACATGGCAAACTCAAGGAAAGCCTTCTCCTGAGATTAGAACTACAGAGCAGATGGGGCTATGCATACCCTGAAAAGACATTTCAAGCTCAGGAGAGGAGTTACAGACAAGCAGTATGAGATCAGAGATTAAAACCTACCCTTGGAAGATACAAGAGTTTTCTTATTGTCACTTCTTCTCATCCAAAGATAGAATGAATTTATAGCAACCTGACAGTTTAACAAATATGTTTCGTATGTAACACAATGATCAAAACAGGTAATTGAATATTTTTGGTCCAATACAGTTAAATATGTTTAATTTAAAAATTTAATTTTTGTTAGAGTGCCATAGAAGCCCTGCAAATAAAAGAGTAAATAATAATACTTAATTACAGGTAGTCTTTGACTTACAATCAGTCGTTTAATTACCGTTTCACGTTACAACAGCTTGGAAAGGGAGACTTTATAGTCTGTAAAGCACTTTCAGTCATTGTAAAGCATCTTGCCACTCCTAACCCCTCCCCCAATCAGGTAATGGTGATGTGAGTACTTGGCAATCTGTTCATGCTTAACACCAGTTGCCAAGATCCTCACAATTATTTGATCACCATTTGCAAACTTCTCTAGGTGTTGGCAGCTTTCAATTTCCCATGCCAACCTCCCCATTGACTTTGTCAGGCTGCAGAAATAATGCATGGATTGCAAAGATTCAAGCTTCATTCCTCTAGCCCCAGTGCAGGAGTTCCCTTTCATACACAGAGGGGAGGTGAACTCCTTGTGTTGGGCTGGACAAACGAAACGATTCTGAAGATTGAAGCTCCATTCCTGCACCTTAGCGCACGTCTTCCCTTCTGCTCACAGAGTGTTGTGACTCCGACCCCCGAGCCTGTCTTATTGGAGGGAGAAGACTCTGAAAGTGAAGGAGAGGAGTTGGCAAGGCCTCCCTCTCCAGGACCCTCCTCTGGCAATGCCTCAGGTGTCTTCCGAAGGAGAAGAGATAGGCTAGGAGCCAGGCATTTCCGAGCAGCCGCAGTTAGACAGCAATGGAGATAAGTCTTGGCTGGATCCCTGACAGTGTCAGAAAGACAAGCGCACGCAGCAGAGAAGGAGGCATGCCAGAGATTAAGCTGAGTCACTGGACCACACCCCACAGGGGATAAAAGGGGGTGTGGTGGCCATTCACGCTTTGTGACGGACAAAACTGAAAGCTAGCAAGTCATTCTGCATTTCTGGAACTTTGTTATATGCTCTGCTTGGACTGATTTTTTGGACTGGACTTGACTATTCTTTGGCTTTTGTGGACTTTGATGTTTTCGGTCGGAGGAGATAAACCTCCCTTTGTAAGTAAAAAACTGTTGGCAAGCAGCCACTGGGTTGCTGCCAATTCTGTTATCAAAGGAAATTCTTGTCTGCTGGCTTATTTTAACTCTTGGTCGATTGCTGGTGTGTGTGTGTGAGACGGGGACAGAACACAGAGGATAGCTACCTGCCCTCTTTTGGTAGGCAGTTTTTTTTTAAAAAAAAAACATATTTTATTAATTTTTAAACAAAAAACAAAAACATAAATACAATTTTTTCTTTGTGCAGAACTGACCTTTTACACGACATGTCATTACTAAATTCTTGTACTCTATGCACTTTATTTCATCAAATTGTATTATATCTGAATCTATTTTATTTTTCTATTTTCAATCCATTTGTACCATTTCTCCCATGATACATAATACTCCAAGTCTGTCATTCCTTTCAATTCCAATGTTAGTTTGTCCATTTCAGTGCAATCAAAGATTTTTTTGATTATTAAGTCATCGGAGGGCATCCTTGCATTCTTCCAGCATTGCACAAAGGCCAATCTTGCTGCTGGGCAAGCAGTTCTTTTATGCCATCTACTTAAGGACCAAAAATGGAAGAGCTGAGATTGCAGTTGTTAAGCAAAGTGGTCGTGTAGGCATCCCATTTAACCACTGCTTCATTCAACAACCAAGATTCTAGTCTTAATCTTGATAATAAGTCGACTACCTGTAAAAAAAACCCATTTCTCTGACCAAGTCCTTAATTTTTATGGATAGGCTAATCTTGTCGTGCTATAAAAGTAGAACAATTGAGTTACAGAATAATCTCAGTGAGGACAGAAATACCATATTTTGTGATATTAAACAATTGTTTCTTTCTGCCTTTGTGTACTTTAAGACATCCTGGTTGACTGACAGTCACATGATTGGGAATAAAGCTCAGAAAAGCTTTATATACAGTATAGTACAGAGCAGTTAGCTCCAATGTTTGAATCACTTTTTGTCGTTATGATTCATCTAGTTAGCTGTCTAGGCCTATAGCTGAATCATTTACAGCTATTATGGAAAGTTTGTGCCTAACCACATAACAGGTAAAACAATATTAGAGAAATATATTTTGAGAGGAATATAGGCATTTCAAAAAATATATGTGCAGTGAAAAAACATTCTTGAAAACACATGTTTAATTGTACAATTTAATTAGCATTTTAAAATAAAGGCATGTAAGTTTTGATTCTTAATGATTATAGCTAGGTTTGCTGACACTTTTCCCCCAGTTCACTACCATCTGATACTTCTATATATATTTAGAAGTCAGACATAATTGTAACTTAGGTTAGTAATAAAAGTTTTTAAAAATATAAGAATTGGTGAAAAGTCTATTCAAGTAATCATAGACAAATGTCTTTAAAATGAAACTTGTGTTTTATGATCTTTGCAATGCTTAATATCTATATATCTATATATCTATATCAATATATCTATATCTATCTATATCTATATATCTATATCTATATCTATCTATCTATCTATCTATATGCTATATATTCAGATGGTGTTTTTTTTTCTCTAAAATGCTAAACTAGGGTGTTCAGCTTTTAGGTTTGCAGGATCTATTTAGCTTTTTCATTAGAATTACTAATATTCACCAAGCATAAAATTCATGCTCTGAAAAGTAAAGCATTGAAGAAAAAGAGCAAATGACCAGCATTAAAATTAGTTTTCACTGATGCTTTCATGCAAATAATTTGCTTTTCCCTCCTTGAGTTTGCTAGCTGTTTCTATGAAGGTAATAAGGGGATAGCTCTTTTTTTGTCAAGCGCTTGGAACTTAAAAATCTACGTTGATTAACTAGAAATTAGGTGAATATTTAGATCTCCTTTCCTGATTCTACCCTTGCTGTAGATCAATGGTTCTCAACATGGGGCCCACACCCCACAGGGGAGCAATTTGATTTTTTAATGGGGGCAATTGGAACCTTGTTTAAACCAAGTTAGGCTTCCTCCTCTGAGTAGGAGTTTACTTTTTGAATAGTAAGAATAATATGTGGGGAGGGGAGACAAATATTTTTTGAGATGCTTAGGTGGGCCATGGCCAAAAAAAGGTAGGGAACCACTGCTATAGATGGAAAATGATGTGTTGCAATGGCATGGTTTGTACCCAGGGCTGAATCAAATGCAGTTTGTATGGCTTTCTTGCTATATGTGAGGTCAGTTACTCTAATTTTTAAACCATTATTAAACAATCATATTTAATGCATGATGTGAATTCAGCCAAATGAGATCACTTTGCTGTGTTCCTCAGCTTTAAATTCTAATTTTGTCTGATTTGTACTTCATAATTAAGATGCTTTTTTCAGTAATTAGGTATTGATTAGGTAACCCTAATCAATGAGAAGGGAAAATGAATTCTTACCTTTATTTTCATTGGCTCAAAACTTGAAATGTGTGTTTTTTAAAAAAATGATCACTTTTACCAAGTTGTATTTCCTTTATTAAGTCTTTAATTCTAGGAATGCCTTTGAAGGCATTCTCAGTTCTTTAAAATTGTTTATATTTTAAAACTTCGCAGAACTAAAAAGTTTTATTTACTATCTTGGCAATTTATACAGTTTAAGTATTTGTTATGCAGATTATCTAGTTCAAATGCTGTAACTTCTTCCAATCTTATCACTCACAGTTTGGAAGAATTAACTGTGATTCCTTAGTCACTAACTTTTAAAGATGCTGAAGATACTCCACTATTTATGCAAATTCAAGAATCTTAAATGTCTTCTGGTAAAACAATAGAAAATTGCTGTCAACTCTATGAAATTAATTTTGTATGACTATAACATCAAAATAAAATATTTTGCCTTGTATATATGACACCTCAGAATGTTTAAGCTTCAAGCTATCAAGTGGAATGGCTTTGGAGGAGTTAGCTTCATAACATAATTTTCCACACTCCTTTTTGTTTTTATCATTAGGATCATTATGAATAATAAAATTATATTATTTCATTAATACTTTTAAAATGTACAAGAACTTTATGTTAATTAAAACACGGAATTAACACATAAGCACGGTATTGACAATGAGCAAGTCAGTGTGGATGAAAAAATGGATGAATGAAGATATATTTGAGCACAGTAATTTGGGTTTAAACAGTTATTTGTGGAGTTTGTTAAAACATAGCAATAATACTTTCCGTCCTTTTTTTCCAGTTATACATGGGAAGCTGTTGATCCTGATAGAGTGCATTATAAAATAAATCCCTGTGGTGGTGCAGGAAATTGTACAGGATCCAGTGCCATTTGTGCCTATGACCTAAAACAACATTTCTCTTTCTCAGTAGGTAAGTCTAAAGGCTTTTTTGCTCCATGGATTAAAAATGTCAAATGCCATCTGTTCAGCTTCTGTTTATTTTATAAATATTAATGCTGAAGTCTTGTTTTAAATCAGTTTAAAATTAGAAGGTATCTATATAAATACCCTTCACATTTCCTTTTGGGTTAAGTGGCATGACATGAAATGCCCTAAAGTAGTAAGAAATAATGAACAAAGAAACGAAAGGCATGATACGATATGACCACAATTGGGATTGGAATTTTGGTTGTTGAGTGAAACGGTTGTTAAACAAGATGTCAATGTGACCACTTCATTCAACTACCATAATTCTGGCACTCCTATTTGCGGTTGTTAGGTTATATCCCAGGTTGTTATGTAGACAGAGCAAAGCAGCCACCTGCCTTCTAGCAGGCTTTTTCTTTTTTCTTTTTTTTGGAGAGTGAAAAGGCTGCCTGCTGGAGAATTTGAGTTCCTCGTAGAACTGAAACTTTCCAGGCTTACAGTTCTTTGAGAGTGAAAAGGCTGCATGCCAGACGGTTTGAGCTCTGCATAGAGCTGAAATCCATCAGCAAGCTACTCTTCCAGCCAGCCTATAGAGATGAGATGGAGTCCTTTTGGCAGGTGGCAACAACTTTCAAACTTCCTTCCCGTTTCTCAAGACTTTTCACTTTACACTCAGCACTTGACTGATTCATAACTTGTCGAATTTGGTTCACTTCATAAGCACACTTAATAATAAAGTAATTGCCTTGAAGTTTTTTCTTTGACTCTTGTTAACTTTCCCTTTGTACAGAGAAACAAGATGTTCTTATAATTGTTATACATTTTTTCTCTGTTATATTGTCATATCTGCAGCTTAAACATTTGTCAACATCCTCAAGGCATTTTATGACATTTTTTGCAACTATTCTTGGATTTATATTTGTTGAAAATGTAATATTTGACATATTGCTAGTATTTCTAAAGTTTCTAAATGTTGCTGTTTCATCACAATTCATTTCATCATACTTATTTCAGTTAAGTTTCATTTTGCTGGAGACATCTTCACTCACTTTCAGAATAATATGTTAACTTCAGTCAAAATCATTTTGCATTCTCTCTATTTTTTTAATCTTTACAGTTCCTTGTTTCATTCAATTACTTTTTTGCATCTATTTTTTCTATCTATATACATCCTCATTTTTTCAAGAGTAATTTTCATTTTCACATTATTCCAGAGGCATCCTTTTCTATTCTATTCATTATTGTTCCATATTTCTGTAACACTTGGTAATTTATTTTGTTCCAAGCACCTGCTATTTTCATTGTTTTATAACTTTTCATACATAGCTTGTATATTCCCTTTGTATAATCCTTTTACTTTCTCTCTAGTTGTTTCATTTCTCCCATATCCAATCTTGCCCAAGGTTGACTCTTGATATTGCCAAATAATGGCCTTTTTCACATTCAGAACTGTTCTAGTTTTTTTTTTTAGCTTTTCTTAGTATTGTATGTCTCTAGATTTGTATTTATTCTTTGCCATGTGAACATATGTATAGACTTGTGCTTAAACCTTGTGTTTGAAACAAAACTTTTTCAATCCAAATACCTGTCACCATTTTTATTCACTGAGTCTCTTATCCATTCATTTTTATGAACTATGAGTTCTCTTGTCTCTCATCCATTTATGTCACCTAATGGAATATTTTTTCCCCTGGAATTTAATATATTTAGAATTTGCATAATCTTTTCCAGAACTCATATTTGGTCCTTCCCTTTTCATTCCCCTGCAGATATTGATGCATTCAATTACTCTAATTCACAAAATCAAACCTTTTCATTCAAACCTATTACATCATTTCCCTTTCTCTTAGTTTATAGTCATACAGTAATTTTACCTTTTATTTCATTTATGGATTCATGGTCTTTGCCACTGACTCCCCTTATATTTCAATTTTGTGTGTATGTGTGCCATGATTATCACCTTATGAGATCATAAATAATTGCTATGTGCAGCCCATCATGACCTAGGTAAATTGAGATTTTCAAATAATACTTTTTAGTAAGTTAAGGAAAGTATAACCTGTGTTGCTGATCTTAGTAGTACTTGTGCCATACACAGCATTCTCAATAATAAGCACACATCTGGTTTGAACCATACATCATAAGGAGAATCAAAACCTGATTTTTACCCTAAGCTCTTGTGCTTTGTTATGTGCAAGTTATGATTTATAGTTTAGAAATTACCTTGCAAGCTACCGCCCTATGACTTTTACCCCATCAATTTAGAAGTATGTGGAGTGTACTGACAGATGATTAAAATGCAACCTGAGCTATCTTAGTAGGCTCTACTTCTCCATGATTCCAGGTATAGTCCACAAATATAGTCATGCCAAATGTATCTAGAGAGTTTCAGGTTAAGAAAAGCTGTAATAGATTTCAGAGGTCAATTTCTGGGTTTGCCAGGAAGAAACTATTTCTTTACAGTATATTTAATTGGACTCAAACAGGAGCAGGCAGGATATGTAAGTAGTCTATCCAAGGCTTTGTGTGATTCTGCTGTGGTCTTGAACACTTGTTCTGTTAGAGAATCTTATCTGAATTAGCAAGATTTTCTGCTAATATCTCAATCCCCATCATCTGGTTAACCCAAGGACTTGAGTAAGTTATTTTCCTTTCCTCCTCAGAATCAGCAGGAGAAAGTGATATAATATGACATAGACTTAAGCTTAACAATTTAATAAATCCTAATCGCCACCATAATCTCATTAAGTGGATTTTTGCCATCCATTCTTTAAAACGATTATGTTAGTGCTAAGTAAAGACATGATTTTTTGGGGGTGGGGGGGTGCTCCTGAGTCAGTATTGATTCCTGGCAACTGCCTGGATTAATCCGTGTAGTTTCCTACACGTTTTTTTGGGGGGGGGTGAGGTGGAGTGGGGTGATTTGCCACTGGCTCCTTTTTAGCACTGAGAGAGAGTAACTGACCCAAGGCAGGAGTGTCGGACCTGGAAGCCATCTTTTACCTTTGAGCCTTCAGGCCTGCCACAATTTCTACACGGGGGAAAATGGGAGTGGGAATTGTATGGAGTAGGTGATATGTAGTAGTCTGAATAACGTTCTTTCCAGAAAGTCAAGGCCGCTTTGCCCTGCAGCTGCGAAGAAGTGATTGGGAGGCATCTTCAGATTTGGATGGTGCCTGATTAGATCGTGTGATGGACATGTGGGTGCTGGACAGGGACTTGAACTTTCTTTTGGCTGGAGAAAACCTGGAAGTTCTCAGATTCGGGTTTTCCTAGATGTGCCAATATGACATCTCTAATAAATTGTAGCTTTGAGAAAATCCAAGCCTTGGAGTTTCTTTTCATTGGGGGTGTTACTTGGAACCCTGACAAGGAGTAGAATTCATAGTTTCCTGCTTTCTAGCCTGGTGCGTTAACAACTACAGCACATTGGACCACTAATTATGAATAAGAAAAAACTAAAAACCCTAGGTTTGTGGGAAAGAAAGCCAGCAGGACAAGAAGAAGGAATGTTCTATAATAAAATTGTGTATAAATACTTGAGATTGTGTATAAATACAATTGTGTATAAATACAAGAGACATAAACTCAAAATTCTTCTTTAATTCAGTCAAGTAAAAGTACAACAGGTGACTGAATCCCATAGGTTTGTTGTTGGGTTTTTTTTTTATGAGCAGGATAATGTTCTGAAAAGAGCTTGAAATTTGAAGCTGGACCTCTATAGGAATGACTAGTACATTTTCTGACTTACATTACAGAGTATAATCTTAGTTCCTGCATGAAGATATTCCAGGATGAGCCTACTGAATGGAGAGGCTATCCCTAAAAACTAGTTCAACAATATATCAACTGAATTGAGCTTTTAAGAAGAAGCAGGGGTAGAGCTGTTCAGCTTGATACTTTTGGTCTGCATGAAATGCTACTCTACCTGTGATAGTCTGAACCTTTCCCTATATTGGTATTATGAAATAGTAGCATGTTAAGGTGTGCCAAACTAAAGACAGAGCTGCCTTAGCTGCCCACAGGTTTCTATTCCTCATTACATAATTGCCATTCTGTATGGGAGTATTTGTCTTATTTGTTTATAAAATGGGAGTGTACCATTATATTGTCTCTTGTGCTTTTTTCTTAATTGCTTTCTTACGAATACATAGCTTTGCAAAAGAAAAAAAGTTAACACTCTTCTTATCTTGGCACTAAATGTTTGAAGCTTCAACTTTGCTAATTTTACAGATTCTAAAATAAAATTCAACAGGATTTTCAGCAACCCAAAGTGAAAAGACTGACTTCTTAAGATTTTCCTTCATAAAATTAAGTCAAATATTCATGAGCTCAACAAACTGATTAACAGATAATTAAGTTGCTAAATGGGATATCACTTTGTACAAAAATGCCCTGGCCTATGAGATGCAGTTTTGCTAATTTTTTAAATATGCATATTGAAATGACATTTTTAAAATAAATTTATTTCCCTTAGATTAATACTATACCTGGACCATCTACATCTCTAAGTGTCCTGTCAGATCTGATAAGAGGGGTATGTTCTGGATCCCATATATATATTAGAAGTGCTATCATATGGGACCCAGGAACCATGCCTTTTCCTGTTGTCTTCTGTCCACCTGAAATTAGGTTGACCCTGTACTGTGTTGGCTTTTCAGAAAGCTGTTAAGACCTGGATATTTTCTCAGCATGGGATTGGGAATTTAGCTGAGCCTAGTTAGGCTGATTGCTGGTTTCCTTGGTTGCTCCAACACATTGTTTGTTTTGTCTTTAGTTTTTATTTTACTAGTGGTACAGTTTTAGAATTTATCAGCCCAGAGTCATGTAAGCGCTCCATGGCTTAGGGCCGGGGTATCTACGAGACCGCCTTCTGCCGCCAATAGCCTCCCACTGGCCAGTTCGCTCGCACAGAGAGGGCCTCTTCAGGGTGCCGTTGGCCAGACAATGTCGGCTGGCGACCCCCAGGGGGAGAGCCTTGTCTGTGGCGGCACTTGCCCTCTA